TAACTGAATTAATTGTGTTGGGATTGTTGAATCAGAGGCCCAACAGGAGTGTTCACAGTGTTATTTCAGTTATTACACTGTACTTTACAGTGTTCAGCTTCAAAATATAAAAAAACCCTATATCTAAATTATTATGTTATAATATGTGTCAAAATAAGCATAAAATAACCCTATTTGAAATGGGTCTTACAGTGCTGTGATGGCTTAATTTGTTCTGTTTCTTTTATTTCTGCTTTTTTTCTTACTTCGTTTGCTACTTTTGATATTTTGTTTGACTAACATGTCATAGACCAAATTAGGTAGGTCTATAAGAAAAGGCAGAGATCCGAACACTGGACACAACCTTGAGGCTTTGGGAAAAATAAACTCAGTATCACAGACAGCCTCCACAAAACCACAGCCTTCCTTACACCCAGGAAAACAAATGATTGTCTGACATCTCCTGCTTGTCCTTTGTGGTCACACAAGACAATAATTAAATTATGTGCCCCAGGAAACAGGAAGCAGTGGATAAACAAAATCCCCAAAAAGCCCCTGTCGTCCCTGTTTGTTCAGAATATAGATCAGCATTCTTGAGGAGCTCCATTTATGTTATTATAGGAATGAAAATTGGGCTGAAGACACATGTGTTTTAAGGGTAATATGATATCTGAAAACATTTAAATGCTACGTACGTGTCTTCTTCTATATAATTTCACTTTTAAGAAGCAGCAGCCAACCTAATCTTTTTATAGATGTAAATTGGATCATGTCATCATTGGCAGCTAAAGCCTTCGAGCGCTTAATTTTGCTCTTAAACAAAATATGAGTAATAATAGCGGCAGTGGTGGTGGTAGTTTTATAGCCTACAAGGCGACATCCAGGCCTGTGCCATCTCCATCCCTGTCTCCTGCCACTCTACCTCCATTGCAATCACTTCGCTCCAGTCACAGAAGTCCTATTTAAGTCACCATGAATGAAGGTCTTGATGTGCTTTTCACACACTGTTCCATCTGGACTTCTTTAAATAGCCAACTGCTGATTTTCCTCTTAGACTTAACTAAATAGAACATCTGCCAAAAGATTGTATGTAGCTCACCACTCTCCACTCCTAATTTACATCATTTTCCAGGGCTCTCCTTACATAAGCACAGACTATTTTTTCCTTCGAATAGTTAGCACCCTCGGTAATTAAACATATTTTTGTATTTCGTTACTGTTCTTTCCCCAACTGAACAGTATGTTCCTTAAGGACAGAGAAACGTACTTCGTTAGTTCATCTCCCTAGAGCCAGGGACTAAATCTTGATAGGCATATATTGTTTCATACATAAATTAGTGAATTAAGGAACTAATGAAAAACTGGTCCCCTCTTCCTACTTATGAATTCCTTACTGCTCTCAGCACAGCCTGTAGCATAACCTATTCTTCAGCATTTGTTGGGAGCTGGGAAGGATGGGCGTGGTCTCTTCCACCACTGTCTGCTCTGCAGGCCTCGATCTCCAAAGCCGGTAGGCTCTGTGAAATATTACAAACTTAAGAAATCAGAGAAGGAATATAACAAGTCTGATAATAAATCCTTGATATTTAAGTATGCGTATGAAATGTAAGACATGTGCATAGGAATACAGGGTGGAGGGACATCTGTTCCCCAGTTAGTTCCTTATTTTACTTTGTAACGACCCTTTCCATGTATTCGGTGTGTACCATTACATTTGGGTTTAGATATTCGGTTCACCTCTAAGGTATATCTCAAAATCCAGCAAAGCACACCCAATCTCTTCCTTTAGTTTCAATGGGAAACATTTTTTCTTTTCATGCCAGTGAAACAATCCTCCCATTGTGTGTTGAGCAGCTCCACACCCACACTGATCTGCCCTACAGGTGCCTGGATTTCAACAGCGGTGACTTCATCCTTTTTGCATGTTCTTTTCAAAGTGAGACAAAAGCTCTAAGACTTAAAAATGTTAGAATATGAGGCATTTTGTGTTTGTAAGTTAGGGGCTGAAAAATGCCACACCATAAAGTTGCCCTTAAAAGAAGAGAGAAAAATCATTAAAACGAAATAACATGGTTTTCTAGGGGAAAACAAAGCAAAACAAAACAAAGAGAAAAACCTCTCAACTACGTTGCAGAAACCTAAAAATTATCAACAGAATCCTGCAAAAGAACCTCAGAAAAGAAAGCCAAGAACACAAAAGAATGGTCAGTAAAATAAGATGTTATAAAGTACACAGGATGAGATTTCCACTAGAAGAAAGTATTAGACAAGAGTCAAGTCCTGCGATGAATCAAGGTAAAGACTGATAAATGTCTTGTGGTTTGTGCCCAGGGAGGTCGCTGAGGACCTTGCTCACAGAAGCTCCTATGGAAGCTTGGGATAGAAGTCAGATTGCAATGGACTGAGGAATGAGACGGTCAATTATTCCCCCAAAAATGTGGCTTCAGAGTAACCTTGGGTTAAAAGGGAACTGTTTATTTGTTTTGTTTTAATTAATGGAAGGAACTGTAATATGCTGTAATGTTTATGGGAGTAGGGGATGAGGAGGGAGGGGAAATAGTCTTAATAAGAGGATGGCTACACATGCAAGATTCTTTAGAGGTTTGGTGCCAGGAAGATTGGCACATCCCCATATGGGAGTGTATGTTAATAATTCCACTGTGAAGTCGAAAACAAGACCATATCTAAGAGTAGAGGTAAAGATGGTAGGGTTAGATCACTGGTTCTCAACTGAAGGCTTATTTTGCCCTTCTCCGGGCAACATTTAGCAACGTCTGTAAACATTTTTGATTGCTACAACTAGGGGCTGGGAGTAATAATGGCATCTAGTGGGTAGAGGCCAGAGATGCTGCTGAACAGTGTAAATGCACAGGACAGGCTCTCACAACAGAAAGTTGTCTAAGCCAAATACCAAAAGTGCCAAGGTTAATGCACTCTGGGTTAGACATTTGAGGAGGTTTAAAATACTCACTGAGGAGAATGGGGAGCTGACTACAGAATCATGGTATGGTTGCTTTAAAACATTCAGTGTCCACTGGAGGATGGAAACCAGTGCTTTTTAATGGCAACCATCTGCACTGTTGTATAATTTTCCCCAGGCGTAGTAAGATTGACTAAAGGCTTAGAGAAATGAAAAGTTAGATTAATGCCTGGATGGTGCATTAATAGTGGGTGCATGCAAACGATAAGGGAGTTTAAGATATTGGTAGAAGATCTGTGATCCAAGGAAGTGATAGATCATGGAATCTAAGCTAGGTAAAGAATGGTATAAATAAAAAGGTAGATGAAAGAAAGTGGGGAAAAAATCAGAGGCCTGAAGTTTCCCATAAATTTGAAATATGTGCAGGAGTAATTTAGTAAAAGATATGGAATGACAAAATGTCATGGTCAGAAGTTGAGGAAGAGCCTTAGTATTTATTTTTCAGTACACTTAACACGATGGTAATAACCAGACTGGGCCTAATGGGTAGGCAGATGAAGTACACTGAAAATAAAGGTCACTAGAAGTGAGATGGAGAAGGACTGGAAGAGGCCAGGATGATGAATTAATCACACAAGGCCAGTAATGAACCAGTGTCCCCCTAAATCTTATGCCATTTCATCACTAAATGTCTGTAAGTAAAGCAGCAACAAAAAGTGAGTATTATAATAATTGTAACCAAAGGACTCCTTCACGGTCCAATACTAGAAAGGCCAATCAAGGAGTCAGTCTCACAGATGTCCAACAGCTAGGTGCTCAATAGTTACATAAAACCCAGCTCTCTAAATGGAGGGTTGATTGATAGCCAGAGTCCCAATAACATTCTTGTGGGGCCCCATGTCACTGGCTTCTACATGGATTGGCTAAAGAATGACAGAGATTATCCAAGAGTAAAAAGACCATTGCTGAGCCAAAAGGGTGCTTCAGTGGGTCAGACAGTGGGGAGTTAACTACAATTAAATATTCAGCAAGACGCAGCCGTGGAACTGGGGCACAGAACTTAGGAATACTTAACAAGTGGACTTGAGATAGAAAGCAGAGAACAAGTGCTCAGATTCCAAAGACAGAGGGGGAAGACCCATAAAATCAATGGATAAAAGCAAAACTTCTAGAAGAGGAGACTGCAGTATAAGCTTTATGCCTAAGAGACAGCTGAGATGGCTCATATCTTCTTTTCAGCTTTAGCTCTTTGCTTTAAATGCTACTGGTAGAATTTGGCACTGATGGCCATCAAAACGCCTGGAGGATTTTGTTTAAAAACTTAGATTCCAGAACTTATCCCCGACTATGGTTCACTAAATTCTGACATGTTCTAGGAATCTATGTGCTGAACAGTTCGTGTGTCTAATACAGGACCGAAGTTTGGGAACGAGTCATAAGTATCTACTACTTAATATTGTCACACCGGTCTCAACTCATCCTCAAAGAGTGATCATTATAGTTCATATCCATCAAAACTTACTACAAGGCAGATGCATTTCTAAGCACTTCAAACAGATTTATTTTATTCAACCCTCCCAACACATTTTGAATGGAGATGTCATTAACTTTCAATTTAAGACAAGGAAATTAGGCAACAAAGCTGACATCTGAGCACAGGCAGTCTGATAAAAGAGCTTGTTTGCTTTCCAACTGTGCTACCATGATATAATTAGCTAACTAAAATGAACCTTTTCCTTCTGCTTTAAACTAGACTTTTATCATATATATTGTTAAAAAGTCACCAGATGTTCATCATAAACTCTGGTGGTTATACATTTTAACAAAAACAAATTAATATTTAATAAAATAGGTTTGGCAAACAAAACATTTCAAAACGCGAAGTTGTCAGAAAAATCAATAATGGAAGTCGTGACTGGTAAAAGTTGTAAATAATTCCTATAGACTCCCTCACACTTATTGCTAGTTTTTCCATTTCCTCAGTCCTAATATTAGATACGAGTTTAACTAGGGAGTTGATGAGTTCAAAACATTAGGGGGAAATAAAAGGAACACACATTCACTTCTTCAATACCATGAAATTGGATATCTGAATACTTACACTTAATTCATTTTTGAGCATCTCTTTAAGGTGATGACCTACATGTTCTTCATCTTCTTTTGTGTCCATAACTATGCAAATCTGCTGTGAAATTCTTTCTGAGATTAAAAAAAATTGAAAAAAAAAACACAATTTAAGTTTCAAACAGAATATTGCACCACCTTAGTTTAGTTCAACAGACTAATCAAAGTGTGCTGAAACCTATGCCTACCTGCTGTTCATAACTATTGGACAAGCATAGGGAGGTTTTAGCTTCGGGCCAGGTAGAGTGACTTAGACTATACACTGAGATGTCCTTGACTGTTTTAACCCCAAGTCAATAAACCTATGCATTTTATGCTTTGTGAGTAGCTAACCAGGACATGTGTAAGCAGCAGAACTAAGAGATTTCAGGATACATTTGAAAGGGAGTAACTGGAGGGGGTAGCTATTTGCCTCACTGATTCAATCCTTCCACGTTTATAAGGAGTCTCCCAGATTCTGATAAAATTCCATGTCCCAGACAGACCCACTCTTTAGCCATGTCTCACTGTGCCACCTGGTGTCCTGGTTAAGTACAGTGTTTTCCTTGGCATTCCTCTAGATTCAGTCAACTCAATATAATTAAGTTCCTGCCTGATTAACTATTACAACAAGTGAAAATAGCCAAATGAATTTCCTTCAAATTTGAAAGGCTTATTTGACAATGGTCTTATTTAAAAACATAAGTGTTTCACCTTAGTAAACCCAGGAAGCACTCTCCCAAAAGATGTGCAGTCCTCTACAGTAGGCAGATCTGAACTACTAAGAAATGGCTAAATTGCTGCCAGTTGAGGAGACATTGCATGGCATTACATAATGAATAAGGAAAAGGAGTGTAATTTTAAATAGGAATCCCAAATCAAAAGGTAGTTTGATTAACATCTGACCCAGCTGCTTCTTACATAGGCAATTCTATATAACATGCTTTAAAACAAACAAAACCAAAAACATTGATCTGGCAATAGTTAGTGCCTATCCTCATGATGAGCCTGCAAACATTATTCTGAATCTACATAACAGATTCAGAAACTTGACTGTAGAGAAATGAAGGAACTAGCATAGGTCACAGGGCCATCAGTTTGGCAAACAAAAGACAGTAGTAGAAAAAGGATTCAAGTCCAAAGAAATTAGGCTTACAAATACGGTTGTTCTACCGCACTAAAATGAAGAGAGAAATAAGACATTTGACATATATTGAATATCAAGCATTTACATATAAGAGGTCCTAAAGCCTTCATAGTCATTATACCATTTAATACCTCAAAATAAATATGTATTATTAGCCAAGTGGCATAATTCCCATTTTTTACTCACAAGGGTGTTTAAAATCCAGGTATTTTCAAAGCTCATGCCTTTTCTATCATGCTGCCTAGCTTGTAATAATTTCTGTAAAAAAATGTACCATATTTTTCATTCACTTGTACCCAACAGTTCAAGAAAACTAAATATATATAAACACAGTAATTCAAAGGGATTGAGAGGACACCTCTATTCTGGATACACGTCTGCTACACTTAACTATACTGAAATTCTTTCATTTCTTTAGGACTCCGTTCACTCATCTGTTAGAGTCATACCAATTTTAAAACATCTATAATTCTAAGGTACATGATCCTCATAAAATTAAAATATAATTTAGAACATAAGTGATGTACACATAGTAAAATGCTATGGACCATCATTGTTGTGAGAAATATAAACTGTCAATATCAGATAAATCTGTATAATAAAAATGAGTGAGGAGGTCATCCTTGAATAGGTTTTCATAGGAACGGAGTGGGGACTTGGAAAGTAAGAAAGAGGGATAAGATTAAAAAAAAAATTTTCATGTATTAAGCTAGGAAGAGTAGGGGCATAAACTCAGTGTGGCAAGAGACAAGGTAAGTCCCCAAAAGCCACGGAATGATTTAGGAATGAACTATAAAGAGGGACCGTCAGTGAGACCAGGTCATGGAGGTCCCATGCTGTCTTAGATACTGTATTGTCCCGAGATTTTTAGGTCAGAAGATAACTATCACTTAAGCAGTGGCTTGAAAACAAAGTTAATCCAAACTTCGCATTATAAAATTAAATGTCTAGAAAAACTTGGACTTTGTCGTATCCTAGCAGAAACTCAGAGTTACATTTTCAAATGTTTCCCACACGTATAGAAATAAATTATGATTAAATTTTTATTATATGGAAATATTAGAAGACCCTATGTTATGGGATTTTTAAAAATATTTTCTGCTATATGGGAATAGTGACTCTTCATTATGGGATTTTAATGAGGATTAAATGGTTAGTATGTGTAAAGTTATGTAGAGTGCCTGGTACAAGTGAATCCTCAATAAATGTTCACAGAATAACTCTTCGTGTTGTTATGGTCATATACATTCAATAAAAATATAAATTAAGATTCCTTTTGTCTACTCAAAATGGAACCCATCTCTAACTGTCCCTTGTGGTCTTAATATTTCAGAGTTTGGTAAACCAAGCCATACCAGCTTTGTCCCAATAAGCTTTCTTTCCAAATTTCAAAGTTTCATCAAATATGCAGTAGTTATGTATAATAATGGAATACACATCTAGATTAATAAATACTCCTATGTTTTCATCTCTGAATTCCTTTACAACTAAAAGGGATACCTTCTAGTTAGGATCATTGATATCTCAGCTTGTCCATTAGATCTAGGTTGAAGCATCATATGTGATTTCTATTAATAATTCTACAAACATGCACTGACAGTCTTAACTGGCAATATTAATATACTTAAAATCGTCAACAAAAAAATACAACAGCAATGACTGCACTTGTGCCGTCCAGCTGGAAGTCCAAAATGAAAAAGAATGTAGCCACAGGAACAGGGCTCAGATGAACTGGACCTCCTCAATTCTGCAGTTATTCTAATATCCCCTCACTCACAGAGAAAGGAAAAACATATATAACATTAAAATTTTTTTTCATGAAGCACAAAACTCTTTCCAAACATAATATAATTAATCTTTATTATTTCTCAAAGCAAAGTATTTAACAACTTCCTTGAGGTTAATGATGAAATCAAAACAAAAATAGGAGCCTTTAGAATTCTTAATCTGATGTTCTAACTGTTAATAAAGCATGTCTTAGAAATTTTTAGAGGTTAAAATAAACAAAACAAAAGCACTGGGGAGAACTATAAAATCATGGTACTTCCCATAATTATAAAAACTCTAACCCAAGAATCTAGTCTTTGTTCTCTCCCCAGAAAAGACCTAAGGATAAATTAGAAAAATATTGGAATTAACATTAAACCATACCTGACCTGTTAACTTGATGACTAATATTAATCTCCAAGTTTTAGTTTTACACTATCTTCTTTTTTAAAAAATAGCTTTTAAAAACCTTCCTTAAAAAGACATTTGTGGCACATGATGAAATATTTTGATAACTAAACCATTAGGGTATATCCCCCCAAAATTTATTTTTAACATGTACTCTCTGATTTAGACTGAATAACCCTTCATTTATATGAGTGTCACACAGCTCAGTGTGGCTTAACAGGGAGAAAATTCAAACTGGAACATGACTTGAAGTCTACAGGTGAGTATTAAAAGTTGTAAACATTAATTAATTTAGCCCACAGTTTTCAGTTACTACCTCAATTCCACGCATGAGAATTTTTAAATGGTCCAGGTATTGTGTACACTTGTCAATATAGTAGTCCCCCCTTATTTGTTGGGGATACATTCCAAAACCACCAGTGGACGCCTTAACTGCAGATAGTACCTAACCCTACATTTTTTCCTACACATACATACCTAGAATAAAGTTTTACTTATAAATTAGGCACAGTAGAGATTAACAATAATGAATAATAAAATAGAACAATGATAACAATATACTGTAATGTTATGTAAATGTGGTCTTTCTCTGATAACTGATCTGATAACGGAGACAGCTACTAAGTGACTAACTGGAGGGTAGTGTATACAGTGTGGATATCCTGGACAAAGCGATTTCATTCATGTCCCAGGTAAGATGGAATGGGACAGCGAGAAACTGCACCATGTTGATCAGAATGGCATGCAATTCAAAACTTATGAATTGTTTATTTCTGGAATTTCCATGTAATATTTTCAGACCACAGTTGACTGTCGGGTAACTGAAACTGTTGATAAAGGGGGACTACTGTAATTAATAATTATGCCAAAAATAAACAATGCACAACTTGATTTTACTTCACTAGCTGTGATGGTTAATTTTATGTTAACTTGATGGAGCCATGGGGTACCCAGATATTAGGTCAAACATAATTTTGGTATTTCTGTGAGTAAATTAACATTTAAATGGGCAGACTAAGTAAAGCAGATTGTCCTCCCTGATGTGGGTGGGACTTATCCAATCAGTTGAAGGCCTGAAGAGAACAAAAGGTTGACCTTCCCCACCACCACTGCCAAGTAAGAGAGAATTCTGCTTAACTAAAACATTGGTTCTTCGGGTTCTACAGCAGCCTGCTGGCCTTTGGACTTAAACTGGAACAATTAGCTTTGCAGATTTTAAATTTTCCAGCCTCCATAATCTATAATTACATAGAGCAACCCGTGTGTGTGTGTGTGTCTGTGTGTGTGTGTGTGTGTGTGTGTGTGTGTGTGTGTGTGTGTGCGTGCGCGCATGCGCACGTGCATGTGTGTCCCATTTGTTCTGCTTCTCTGAAGAACCCTAATACACTGGCAAATAAGCATTCTTCAGAAAATAACTAATAGTTCCCAACTACTCACCATAGGATCCCCCACCTCCTTTTGTTCTATACAAGGCAATAAATGATTACATACAACCCCTTGGGCCTCACACCTTATTATTCAGCCAGATCACACCACCTACAGCTCCTGGACGTAGCATGATCTTTGGACCAATGTGCATGTTCTCCTGCCTGCAGTGACATTCCACGTCCTTGTCTAACTCCCCAGTGGGCCCACCCAGCATCATCTGCTTTAATAACGATAGGCCAGATACGTGTACTTTGTATTTTGTACATAGATGTTTTTGGTGGGGGGCTGGGGACTTGAGGAGGAGAAAATAAGGAGGAAACAGAATCACCAGGGAGACGTTTTTGAA